ATACATGAAAATGTATGTGGGTCTGGCCAGACTCATGTGGTATGAATGTGACTATTCAGACATGTGCCTAACCGAGGGTTAAAAAAATAAGAAACTATAGAATTTTTAATAATTTTGACGCTCGCTGATGATGGTTTCTCAGTTGAAACCGAAATGCATTCAGTATATAAATAAGGTTATTTCACTTTTTTTTACATAAATAAGAAACTATTTTGTCATAAATCTTTCATTCAAATAAATAAATTGAGATTTTCAAAAAATGTTTTTTTTTTACTTTTTTAAGAAAAAAATAGAGGTCCATACATACAATTTTTTGAAAAAACGGAATTTTTTCGACTTTGGACGAATTGTGCTCGATGGTTTCGCGTCAGACCCTCATAAAAGTATGAATTTTCTGCCAGCACAATTCGAGCACAATTTTTTCATGTATATATCACTCAAAAAAAATCATGTTCTGACATACCTCCCATACAAATTTTTGGAAAAACGGCGTTTATTCGACTTTGGACGAATTGTGCTCGATGGTTTCGCGTCAGAACCCCATAAAAGTATGAATTTTCTGCCAGCACAATTCGAGCACAATTTTTTCATGTATATATCACCCATGTATCATGTTCTGACATACCTCCCTTACAAATTTTTGGAAAAACGGCATTTTTTCGACTTTGGATGAATTGTGCTCGTCACTCAGATGAGCACAATTCCTGGGAGCAATTGCATTCGCCAGCACAATTCGAGCACAATTTTTTACATATATTGGTTTACCAGCACAATTCCAGGGTGGCGCTGATGACAAGCACCTGTCATCACATGATCAGATAAATCAACCGTCTTCAACATCAACCGCTGATGACAGCGATTGCATATTCGTATCGTGCAAGAGTAAAGAATATACATTTATCGAATTGATGACAGAGAAGTGTCCAATCCAAGCCAATGAAATAAAAGCAAAACTTAAAATGGCGGATATTGAAATGGACAATATTAAAATTGAACCGCTCGATGAATCGCAATCACCACCGCCGCCGCCACAAATGTAACATCCAACTCTCGATACAGTCTCTCAAATACAGTCTCGATCACCAAGTCCATTACCACCCACATCAGCATCGTATTGGGTGTATGCATTAATTTTGTTCTTTGACATTTAGATGTCGCTACTTAAAATTGTGTGTAGCTTCACAGGTGAATCCAATTGCATTTTGTACATGTGACATTTGCCAATCTGATTCACAGCAGAAAGATTTATTTATTTCGTTTTGAGACTGGTTCATCGTTAAGTCGTGGTGTGCTCATAGCAGTCACATCAAAACTTACATCCACCAACATTGTATTCGACGACACAAGTGAATTGGAATATGTCTGCGTTAAAGTCAGCATTAATACAAAACTCAATGTATTTATTTATGCTGCGTATATTCCGCCTAACTCACAGCCGGAAATATACAAACGCCACTCGATTGCCATAAGCCATATTCCATCGAGCCCAAATGACACTATCATTGTACTGGGGGATTTTAATCTACCCCTTGTCAATTGGATTATGGATGACGATGAACAAAATGTTCTCATTCCAACTTGCGTCACTTCACAGCATGCGGCGGATTTTATCGGAGACATCACCGCCAATGGTGTCTATCAGATTAATTCTATTCGCAATGCTAGTAATAAACTGCTCGATTTAATATTTACAAACGATTTCACGAATGTCGAAGTTTCTTGTCCGCCGTCTTTATCTGCCATTGATGAACAATATCATCCACCTATTCTCTTGACGTATGAATGGCACATAAATAGCTTAACTCAAGAGCAAATTCCAACTCGAAACTTCCTTAAAGCCGACTACATTGCAATGAATAGGTACTTTGCCGAAATCGATTTCTCTGTTCACTTTTCAAATAAGCCTCTTGATCATAAAGTCGACATTTTGCACCAAGTTATTAATGAAGCGATCGATATGTACGTACCTATTCAAACGAAAAAGATTACATCGAAATGTCCGTGGAACAACAAGCAACTCCAATCTCTCAAGAACAAAAAGAACAAAGAGTGGAAGAGATCGAAGTCAACGAACGATGACTCAGACTATTTGTTTGCGCTTGATAATTACACCAAACTTAACACGGAACTGTATAACTCGTATGTCGACAAAATGACTTCTTCACTGAAGCCGTAAACCAGCCGTGTCAAAGTCAATCGGTAGCACAAACATCAACTCAAACAAACTCTAACGTTAACCAATTCATTCTTAACGAATTTTTTGTTTTCGACGAGTTGCTTAAAATAAACTCAAAGAAAGGCGTTGGACCGGATGGGATACATGGGAATTGTGCCGTCCTACTGTATGCACCTCTAGCGATAATATTCAATGAATCGCTTTCCACTGGACACTTTCCTACGAGTTGGCAACGTTACAGCGTTGGACCAATTTTTAAAAAGGGATCACGCTCTAACGTTGAAAATTATCGATGCATTGCCAAATTGCCAACAATCGCTAAATTTTTCGAATACTTGATTAATTTGGAGATCAGCAAGATGGTAGCCGATAAAATCGTGCCACAACAATATGGTTTTATAAAAGGCCGCTCGAATTCGATGAATCTTTTAGAATTCCTGCACTTTTCACTCAAGGCAGTGAACGATGATAAGCAGGAAGAAGTACTTTACACAGACTTAAGTAAGGCATTTGACATTGTTGATCATTCGATTCTGATTTCAAAACTTCACAATTTCAATCTGCCACCAAACTTAATCGATTGGATCAAATCGTATTTGTCAAATCGTCGTCAATTTGTGAAATATGGGCAAATGGAATCAAGTGAGTTTGTTGTTAACTCAGGGGTGCCTCAAGGTAGTCACTTGGGCCCCCCCCCTATTTCTACTTTTCATCAACGATATTGTAAATTCCATTGATGACGACGACATTTTTATCTTCCTGTTTGCTGAAGATTTGAAATTGGCAACTTCAATCACTGACACTTATTATGTCGATATCGAAAAGGAGAGAGAGAATCATGAGCTCCTACTCATATGGCAGTCACAATTTTAAAAGAGTAAGCGAACAAAGAGACTTGGGAGTAATTTTTGGCAGCAAACTCAACTTCATCAAACACCCGTGGCCAAAGCAACATCAGCGCTCGGATTCGTAAAGAGATTCTGCTACGATATTCCTGATGTCAATACTCTCAAGTCATTATACTGCGTCCTCGTACAATCAATCTTGGAGTATGGCAGTTTAGTATGGCTACCGTACCATGGCATTCACAAGAACAAAATTGAATCTTGCCTTTGTCAATTCTCAATGTTTGCACTCAAGGAGTATCCAAACATCTCGAATGACTACAAAATATCATCGTACAGCGCTCGCCTTGGCAAACTAAACATGCAATCACTCCAAAGGCGCCGTATAAACGCATCAATTTTATTCATATTCGACTTGATGCAAAATAATGTTCACTGCCCATCACTGAAGACTGAAATGGCCCGCAATCAAAATGAACGTAACTTGAGAAGTGTCGAGTACTTCAAAATCAATGACAAATTCTTCCGTATCAATCCATCTGGTTGAGTGGCCAGATGTGCAAAATGTCAAATAGGGTCTACGAACTATTTTCAATGCAATCAAAGAGATCAACTTTCAAAAATCGACTTTTAGCCTTAAGCGATGATCACTTTTCAAACTTGTCATTGGTGTCCAATTATAACACTGTTTTCTTAAACGAGCAAATGTGATACATTGTGATTTATTTTTTATATAGATATAGTATTTAAAATTATATTTATTTATGATTTCTTTTTCCATTCCGTTCCAATACTTACACATAAACAAATATTCGAGTACGATTACTCATACTTGCGGTGTTAGCAGAGAGTCTACCCCTCAAAATGAGTTGCGCACTCTATTTTACTCTATTTTTTGTGTTAATTTCATCCAAGCATTGCGTATCCAACGCAGCGTAGTGAAAGAAGAGATACATGTGTAGTCATATGTACGTTGAACGCATGCGGCTATGTAACTCATTTTGAAGGGTAGACTCTTTGCTAACACCGCAAGTACGAGTAACCGTACTCGAATATTTGTTTCTGTGTATTGATTAATTTCCATTTTTTCCATTTTTTCCATTCTTTTCTTCTGATCAACTCTAGGTAAGAAACTATATGAACAAAAACTACAAAATGAACAAAAACTACTCATAAATGATACCTTGCGATGTTGTTGGCATTCAGTACATTCTGGGTCAAATTCATCTTCTGGTATTGCTTCTTGAACCACAAATGTTGATTGAACAGCCAAGCAACGAGTACAACTAATTAAATTATTACGGTGTAGAAATTGAAGAGCATCATCGAAGCCTTGCTGACACATGTTCGATAAAACTTCCGGTTTTGGCGGAAACAATATACGAATGAAACGATTGATATTTTGTCGTGATAATTCAATACTTGTATTCGCCCAATTCACCTATATTAAAAGAGATCAATTGAAAACATGTCATTCTTTAAATTTTATTTATTCCTTCTAAACCTAAATACTTACATGAAAGAGTTGCGCACTTTGGTCGCGCGGACAAATATCACTCTCACCACAGAATGGACTGACGGTTACTGTATTCTCATCTAGAACTGGTAAATTATCTGAAAATGCTCCATCCATGTAACGAACACCTTGAAATTTGGGTGGTAAAATGCCTGAAAATCCAGGAATGAAACAAGCACATAACAATGCTTGCAATAGATCTTCACGGCTATTGAACTGTGAGACGATTATATTCTTGCCGTCACAACTTCGTGTTAGCGATACATGCAAACGACCATTGACACGTTCATGAGCATCTGGGGGTAAAAATTTTTGTAAACCTTCTAGCAAACATGTTTGAATGTTGAACGATGGACTAAATGGGCCCAGAGAATGTGATCGGGCTTCGTTGACAACACGGAAAAAGTCCGACGTCATTTCGCCTGCAAAGCAAATAAAACATTTCGAGTTAATTTAAAAATGAAAATCGCCAGTTTGTTATTTCAGTCTATTGTTCGTCCAAAACTGTGAAATATTTGGCAATAACAATAAAAGTAAATTTAATATGCCAAAAATGTTGTGATTTTAATCAACCAAATGACATAAATCATTTTCTAACTTAATGACTAATTATAATTGTGACTACAATGTACAGTGTACATTGTACACATATTTATCGTCATTTGTACTGTACAAAATTAAATGTATACGCAACGCGTTCAAATTTCATCAAAATCTATCAAATTTGCTTACATTCACAATTGAATCGTTGCGGCGAAACAGTAGCTCTTATTTTTCTCCAAATAATACTGCAACATGAAGTTTTTTCACATGGTTTATTTGTTGTAATACAACAAATAAACAATTCATAAAAAACTTTATGTTGTAGTATTATTTGGAGAAAAATAAGAGCTACTCTTTCGCCGCAACGATTCAATTATGACGTCGTTTTTATCAGGTATATCAGGTGACAAATGATATAACATCGAACGAAGAAATTCTTATCAATAATGACAAAACAAACCATGTACAATTGTACACATTCTTAAATTTTTAGAAAAGAGGATAGAATTTTAAAAACTCGTGAAATGTTTCATCGTGCATGTTTAAAAAATATCAATTTATTTCCATAAAGGGCGAGCCTATTAAGCAATTTTATAAATAAAATTAATTTAATAATTTATGAGTTTTGAAGAACAATATTAATGGCTATAGATTTGGGTATATTTAGCACAAAAAACTGTTTGATCCATCAGTCTAAAAAATAAGAAAACCAAAGCGACAACAAAATCAAAGCACATCCAAATTTGAGTAGAATTGTATTATATTGTAAGCTAAACAGCTGACATGCTCTCGCCATTTTTTATGGTAATCTGCCTGATAGTTTCTAACAAACAATTTTCTTCAACAACGTGAATAACTATAGTTTCTATGCTATAGCGGCTCTATTGATTAAAACCATTTCAAATATATATGAACAAATAGTTTGAAATGAGTTCAAAAATTGTTGTTGGTATGCGAATTCAAAAGGCCTCAAACATAATCAATTAAAAAATCCAATAAATTACACTTGAAACTATTTTCAATTGGGTTTATTGACAATTGATAGCATCGAGTCTCATTTGCCTCGCGGATAACCTCTTCATCTACTTATAATGTAGACCGAACTACAAAGATATCTATATTATAGATTATACGAAAAGAATATAAAATTGCGGTCAATAAATTATGTAAACTCGTGTTTCTGTCACCGTAGAATTGACATTGCTATTTTTTCGAGAGTCAAGCGCAAAAAGGACACACTATATAAACGCCATCTATTAATAACCGACTAACTACAATGTAAATCAAACGTATCTGTTTCCCCTTTTTATTTACTCCCTTCTCCTCTCGCTATACTTTTACAATGTAGTTACCCTGTTTTACAAAGATGTCGTTTCTGTGTAAGATGTGTGACGTCACAATGTATTTATATGGATAGCGCTCGACTCTCGTATTTTTTGAATTATTCAATAAAAAATGTTGTTCCGAAAATATTTTCAGTTCACTTGAATTTCGTTCAACAGTGAAGTTATCTTTAATCACCTATATATAGTAGACTTTAATGATTTTACGTCCTGCTCTCTCTTATGAAAATTTCCATAAGATGGAGACGGCTTTAAAAAATTAAAGTCATTATTATTCCGAGCCATTCATATGTACGTTGCCGCATGCGTTCAACGAGTTATGCTTCGTTGCGTGCATATGAGTCTGTGTATACGCTAACGAATATGATTGCTAAGTGTATCGTCACATACGTTCGATGAAACTAACACCAAAAATAGAGTAAAATAGAGTGCGTAACTCATTTTGAGGGGTAAAGCCTCTACTAACACCGCAAGTGCGAGTAAGCGTACTCGAATACTTGTTTCTGTGAATTTAGCAGCCTAATGAAAGTTTGAAGTCTGCGAACCTTGTACATATTAATTGATTTAATGCACAAAAACTGAAGTATTACGTACAAGAAGGTAGCCAATAGTATATATAGTCAAAAGTATTATTTCGTAACTCCGATTTAGTTTCTCGTATTATATATTTGTATAACAGTTGGTAGAATAAAGTAATTAGAGTGAAAATGTGTCATAAACATCCATGCTATTTCTTACATCTAAACATTAAATAAGCTAAATTATAATAACAAATCAAAGATATATATTTTAAATAAATGAATAATAAGGAAAACAGTTCTAAAGTGCGCGTATTTCACTTGTGCTTAATAACTATATTTAATTGCATCAAAATGAATAAAGCCTATAGGCTTATCTATAGACCTTAAGATTATCTGTTATCTGCTAAATATAATAAATCAAAACGGCTATTTCGACATAAAAACGCTCCGCTACAATCACCAAAACAAATATTTCTGTTTTTCAACAAAAAAAGACGCTGAGCTAATTGATTTTTTGCTGATCACCAGAAAAGTAATGTAGGAATTTCACTTATTATGAATACAAAACTTTTTATTTAGTACATATGTTACTGTCCTCGAACGCTTCTATCGTTATCAAAATCAACAATTACTCATTGCTTTTTTCGGATATTTTAACTTATCAGGAGCGAAAAACGCAAACTTATGACCTTTAACGGCATATGCAAGGGTAAACTAAATTTGGATTATATTTTCGATATTTCCAATTCAAAATATAGTTTCGATTTAAAAGATTATTAATCCAATAATTCAATGAACATTCCCTCAGTTAATAGCAGTATTGCATATAAAACAGTGTAATCAGCAACAATATAATCATCTCTTTGCCGACTTTATTTTGAAAGCGATAAATGACGTGAAACAACGAAGTTCAATTGATCAGAAAATAATGAAATCATTTGTGACGTTCATAAACAACGCAAAAAGGGAGTAGAGAGACTAGTAGTTCATGATTGATTTCAAAATTCAAAAATTGATAATAAAATATGTCAAAATATTACAATTAAAAAAACGTAAGTTAATAATTAACCGTTTTCTTTTTTTTAACATAAACTATGTATTATGTATCACCGTTATAAATAAGTAATGTATATTGGGCTGTTTTTATTTCACTCCGTTTCCAATTGTGTCGCTTATTATTGTACGTTTGAAGACCTCTATATACATATATGCATATTGTACGTCATTCAGCGAATGAGAAAACTGTGTACCCTGATCTGTGACTGCAATAAACTTTCAAGGTAATATTCAATACACAATGTAACGTAGAAATCGGTACTTCTAGTATATGGGGACACACTGCAACATTCACAATAACTGACTATTTTTATCTCATTCTCATTTGGTTGTCATCATTAGTACATATATGTATGTGCCTGTGTATGCTGTATGCTGATATACATCGGAACAATTGAATCGAATTTGATGTTTTTTTTTGCTCGACGTATACTCTTTTTCTAGTCTTATTTTGACCCATTTTGGTGGTCATTTTCGTATCGAGATTATGTTCATAATTTCCAACTTCATTCACTTCCAATAATATGTCGTTTGACAACATGTGAACACAACCCAATACATTAAGTTTTAAATTGAAAATCTAACGATTCATTTGTTCATTTATACTCAAATAGAAGAAAATAAACAATTCATTTGGAAAGAGATTTGCGTAATTTGATGACTCTGCAAAAGAACATTTTTATACGTCATTTATTTTTCTTTATATGTACAGTGAATCTGATTTTTTTGATAGACAAAATAACAAGCAAAGTAAGCAGAGAAACTCTCCACCAACATAGGATTCATATACGAATGGAGTGTGAGTGGAGTGTGTCATGCAAAATTTTGTCTACCAAAAATATTAGATTCACTGTAGAATTAGTATTTTGAATTATCGGAATGCAACTGAATCTTTCTGATATTTTTCGGTTGTCGCGGTGTATATGTGTCAAACCAAATCCAACGACATTTATTTATATGTTTTACTTTGTATAAATATACAAAGTATAAACGCAGACGCAACATATCTATCACTGTTCGTTATGTATGAAGCATGCGAATACATGTTTGTGTGTGCATGTGACCATTGAGAGACGCACGCACATACATTGTATTTATTGAGCGCAGCACAAAGCGAACAGCGACGGATATGTTTCGTCTGCGTTTATGCAAAGTATAAATATATGCGACCCGGTCCCTGGTTATACTGCCATCACTTTGAAAATACCATTGCACCAAACGATTTTGTTTCCAATAAAAATTTGGTTTGTTTGCAAAATGATTTCTTGTACAGTCAAATTGTTTACAGTGTGTTTGAACAGTCAAATTGTTTTTATTGTCATTTCAACAGCGATTTTGTGTGTTAGGAATGCATTAGTGCGTTATATTCACAGTTGGTTTTGTGATTGTATTTGTTTTAATTTCAGAATAACAGAGCGTTGATGAAATTTACGGTGAATGTTCCAACCACATTCCGATCTGCAAAATATTTGATGTCACATTGAAAATAAATTTCATCATTGGAATTAAAATACAGGGTGACTTTGTTGAGGTAAGATGTGATATTTATAATGGGTTCTTAATTGCTGTTTCATTTTATTTGTGATAAAAGTGTTTTTATCTTATTTTATTTGTGATCTATGCTATATCTGGTACAATTTTTTTCTAAATTTGAAGAGCGTGCGAAAGATTTGGATGCGAAAGAAAATCAGCGACTACATAGATCATAATCCAAACAATTTCATAACCAAATCATGACGAATAGTGTTTCCGTATTGGTTCTGTAGACCAAACCAGAGCGGTTGAAAAACGTGGTTGGCTGTAACGCGTCGCAACATCCTGAAAAAATCTGATGAACCGGCCGTTGAAATGAGCTATTTTGAAATGTATTTTGAAATGTGTTTGAATCGTAACTCACTATTTTTTATGAATTTGAATTTTGAAGAAAAACATCACAATACCAAACACGCGATTACACTGTGATACTCAGCAGAAAAGAAGAGATAAAGAGGCGAAAAAATTAGCTGGATGGTCTGATATCGAAGAAAAGAATCATCTGAAGTCATACTCATTCATTCCACCATCACCACGTAATTCATCTGTATTTTAGTCTCAAGTATACAAAGCACTGTTGAGTCAGCACTCAGCAGCGGCTAACTTAGGTGCTCAAATACTTCGTTCCTTGAGTAAAATACTAGGTAAAATATGAGTAATAAACAATGTTTTTGACCCCGAATACAAATACATAAACAGTAAAATCAATCATTGTACTGAAGTGAATATCAGCAAACGAAAACAGAAACTTGTTTACTTATAAACGCTCAGATTTGAAGCGTGTGTACTTTAATTTTTTTTTTTGAATTTGAATTCATTTGTCTTTATCAATCGAAACAGAAAAGTTTCAAAATGTTTGTACAAGCATGTGGTGCCGTTGACCAAATATTCGTCGCAGATTGTGATGTAATTGGCTTATCATGGACAAAAGCTCATCAAATCAGTAACAAATACTATGATGATTAAATAAAAACAATGTATGGCATATATAAAAAATAAGTAGCAAAAAGAATTTATGTATATATATTTCTGTGTGCGCAATTGCACAGTTTCGATTAAAGATCACTTTGTGATATGACGTAGTCATTTGAGTTAGACGCAAATCAATTGAACTGTGTGTATTTTGAACAAGAATAATCACAACTGACCGGCAAATGGACGAATTTGCATCGGTGTTTGCTTCACGTACACTGCAGTTTGAAAGTTTGGACAGACCCATCTAAAGCGGTATCAAAATAGCGCTTCCAGTTGTTCTTTCATCATAAAAATTTGAGGTGTTTGCCTACCTAGTTCATAAATAAAATCGTTAAGCATTTATTCTAATCCGATAATTTGTAGTTTATTTTACAGCTTTACCAATATCGAAAATTTTACATACGTCTAGAATTGAAAGCCAATTTTTCTTTCTCTTAATATTTGTTAAATTTGAAATACTGAAAACAGCATAGATTGAAAAAATGGACATTAAATTAATTATTTCATTGATTTATGAATCATTGATAAATTGACCATCTGGCAATTGATCATTCATTTTATAGTATAGATGTTTTTTCTGTGTTAATTAACAATTTTTTAGTAATCGATAGTTTGAATTTTGTTAAAACTGTGATAATTGCAATGTTTCTTCTCGCTATCTGGACTTCTATTATCTCTACGTTCATCAATAAAATGCCTATCGAAGTGAAATAGCGCAATTAAATTGTTTACCACTATCGCTATCGGCAATTTTTTTCCTTCTCTGGTTTATTCATGGAGAAATTCTGCTTTTTCTAATTATTTGAAAATGAAAATAATAAAGACGATTGTTCTTCGCCGAACGTGAGGGAAGATAGAAAACAATCGCATTTATTTCACTTAGTCACTGTGTTTTTGATTCACGCAGTATTGTATTTGATTGATTGCTTTATTGCAATTTTTACACGCGGATATTTTTTTTAACTATTTACTTTCAACTCTTGTTTGTTTACTAACTTTTTGTAAATTGACTATCTTTATAGTAACGTAACATTCTTTATGAATGTTTACGTCTAAATTTTAACGCTTTACCGTGAAATTAATGTTTCAGTGTCAAATGGAACATAGATTATATATTCCAATAGAATAATTTCTCTATTTGTTTTATTTAAACTCAATTTGAAATCTTATAATTTATTATTGGTACACAATTTTTTGCTTCAACAAGTTTGAATTTTTAATTTGAATCGTTGCGGTGGCAAAATACTTTGTATTCCAAATGATACAAATGAAATTGAAAGTTTTTTCAACTTCGAATAAGATGACACAATTCAAAGATGTTCAAGACTATCAAGTGATATAAACCATTTGACTGAATTTTGTTCATCAGCATTTTGCATATGGTAAACCGTTAAAAAACAGATATCTGTTAAGTAATCTATCAATAACTTGATGCCATTGAATTATTTTTTTTATAACGTAAATTTAAAATATAATGAGATTAGTTCATTCACTTCTGTCAGAAAATCATGGTTCCTTTAACATATTTACTGTTGATTACTAAGGCTTAGGCCAAGAGACATGTGATTTTCATCAAAACAAAATCTCGTATGTTATTGGATGTGAATAAGGAGAGATAAAGAGACGAATAGATGTATATTTATAATGTATAAATAGAGGAGGTATGTTAGTGGTTTCTTTTCGATGATATAAAAAAATAAAAAGTCTTACAGGAGTAAGACGAATTTTTCAGCACGGTGGTAGTTGCGTATATTATTAAGCTAGTTCAAAATAATATTTGTTCGAAAATTCAAGCCTTTCAAGCGGCGAAAAGTTCGAGACCAAAAAATGTGCTCGGCCTCGAAATACTCTTTAATTTAATAGCAGAATTACTCGCAAAAGATTGTATACAAAATATTTGTTTTGAGCCAAAAATTGAAAATTATGTATTGTACCCTTAATTATGATTTAATTTTCTTCAAACTTTCAGAATGTTTTTTTTTTGTGTAAAAAATAGTCTGCGCAAAGTTTCACGTCATTACGGTAGCATACAGACATGGCTCCCATACGAAAATTCAATTTTCTGTGATTTTTTCAAAAAAACTGTATAAAAATTGATTGTATCTCAAAATTAACCTCAGATTCAGTTTTCTCGTGCCAAAAATCCCCCCAATACATATTTTTGAGTGTTTAAGTCTACATAAAGTATGACTTTTGGACGAAAATTGGACTCTTTTTCATAGGTTCAGACATGAAATTTTTGTCCATCAACCAAAGTCGCTCAAAATCTAATGATTTCTATTCCTCGCGACCCCCAATCATCCTGTACAGTCAGATTTTAAACAACTTTTTTGGGGGAGAGTTATCGTGTTAACAAATTTTGTGTACAGAGAACAACGTACCACGTGGAACAGACCCACAACAACCATGCTCAAAACGGCTTGATTCGAGCTCTCTGGGCTCGTAAACGTCCAGAAAACATCTTTTTGAGGTGTCGTAAATTTTGACCCATTGCAATACTTCCCCCATCTAGTTTTCCTTGCATATTTTTCCCTTACACACTCGGTGTGTGCGGAAAAGTAACAGTCTTATTGTTTGTCTCTTATCAATTGGTTTACCATTTAAAGCGTTTTCAAATATTACAAAACGAGCTATTTGTGATATGTGCGTTAAGAATAAATCAATCCACAATGAAAACAGTATTAGAATAAATTAAATACGTTTAAAATGTAACTTTGTTATATTTGTCAGTCTTTCACACACATGTGAATCTCAAGTACAATTTTATTACAATTTTAAAAGTAAATTATCTGCGACAATTGGCTCATCCCATTTAAATTATATCAACGTATCCAAACAGTTCTCCTTGCAGAATATCCAAATAATTAAAGAGTTAATGATTTAATTGAAAAAAAATAGTTAATTTATCTTAATTGGAGCACACAGCACCTCACTGACCTTCGAATATGATTTTCGTCAATATAGAAAGAGCCGCACATAAGAAATGAAGCGAAAAGTTGTCTATGTTTGTTATTGTTGGTAGAAAAAAATCGATTCGAAGGTAAATTGTATGAAACAATTATGTGCATGTGATTCACCAAAATTCACGGATATTGAGGTTAAAATCGAACTCATTAAATTAGATTGTATTTAAATACCATGCTTTACACGTGGAAACCCAAACCTAAAATTAAACAGTATCACATGGCGAATATCACGTTTTTTCGCATCAAATGTGTATAAGGCTCTTTTTAGTGAAAATATTAGAGAAGTATATATAAATTTGAATAGGAGAAATTGGGTAATTCCTGAATTGGGAGTCGTTTGCTTACTCCCACTAAATAAAAGAGATATGTCCAGTTCTACAAAAGACACTGAATTTGCCAGGTCCAATAAATAACAGTTGAACTAATAAATTTTAATTGAATTTAATAATCCCTATGAAGTGAACGATTTTTTAAAATTTGAATAGATATATTCAATATGTTTTAAATAAACAAAAGGCATATAAATTATAAAACATTGAATATGTATAAATTATGCACCGACTTAATACCTTGCATTTTTATTTGTAGCTAATCATTTAATTCCAACGAACATTCAGACAAATAGCTTTAAATGATTTTGTATAAAATCTATTATATACACATCTATTTGATGACGATAATACAAGTTCATGTCGAAATTCATTAAATAAATATTATTATTCCTAATTTGTTTATTTACTTCTAAACGGCTACTCCAATCTGACGAAAAAAATAAAATTATTCGTGCCAAATATGCTTTGAAATAATCAATGTGATTGTTGCGAAGAAAGAAAATATATCTATAAGCGGATTTTTCAAAATTATTTGAAATGACAATTGATAATAATAGTCACAATAAAATCTATTTTTGTCGCACATGAAAGAAAGAAAGTGAAGAAAACAGAAAATGGACAAAATTATCGCTAGTTTTTTTTGTTATAATTCTCTAGTTCTTCTGCATGATTGTGCATGATTTTACATGATTCCAAGATTCCAAATTATTTTTGTTTTTCTTTTCATATAGTAGAATCTCGGAAATGTAGTGATATTTACTTTTCTGAACAGGTTTAAAAATTGACAAAAATAGACTTGTATCAAATTTACCCTTTATAGATCGAAGACTGATTCGATTAACACAAACCGATTGAACCTCTCACAATCCTTGAGTATAAAATAAATAATTTTTCAAGGTGAGAGCGGAAAGTTGCTTAACTTTTTTTAAGTTAAATTTTCCGAGGTTTTGCTGTATTGGAAGTTAGAAAGAAATGAGTTAGAAAATTGTTTGACTGTACAACTGTCATCAATTTCTACCGCAAAAACTTGTCTTTCTCATCTGTTTTTCGGAAAACAATGCAAAGTATCAAATGGAATTAAACGTGCCAACGAAAGAAAAAGTATTTCAGCACATAAACCAAATTTAAAATACATACAATTTGTTTGATATGTGACAATTTTATGTATATTGCTCGAAAAAAAATGCAACGCAAGTGAATTCCAATACACTGGAATAGCCCAAAAGAGGAGTGTCATACTTATTTTTGCTACAGGCAGGTAATCAAATGACTTGGGTAAGCATTTTTAACTTATATGTGAACCGATATATTAGGCCATTAAATATACACAATTTCAACAATATAAGCTATTTATCTAGAAAAAGAAAAAACCAAAAATATCGATAGCCGAAAAATAAAAATAAAACACGCTATCAATTTTGATACTTAAGAAGAGCATTTTTGTTCCTTAAACTATTGAAAAACACATAATAAAGTTGGTATTGTATACTTTTACTTGCGGAAAAAATAATTAAAATTTACATTACATGACTTATTCATGATTTATAAAAAAATCAAACTCACCTAATGGCATATCACAGAGTAAACAGGTAGCTGCTAAACATCCAGCCGAAGCACCACTAATTTTGTCGAGTAGCAAATGTGGTGCATACTTTTTAAAACAGACAGCAACCCCAACATGGTAAATACCGAGGAATCCACAACCAGCAAACGATAGATTCATTTTTTTGTTCGTTTTCTCCAAATTAACAACACTTTTCAAAATCGTCTAAGTTATTTGAACAACGTTGTAGAATAAAAATCACAAATATGAAAAAACTTTTGATTTTATAGGCACTAAAAGTTTTTTTATTCACACTTTACACTTTGAAATTGTCCGCATATGAAAATCTTTATGTCAAGTAATTCCTGAAAATTAAAACCAAAAAAGGGTTTAGATTGTCACATATTTAGTTCACGTTCACAAATTAGAATGAAAGAAAAAAAAGTTTTCAGCTGAAAACTGCAGATAGTTACTACAAAGTAGTCTTACAAATATCTCAGATTCACGAATGTAAATTGGACTAACTGTTGATTGTAAAAAAAAAACATTTAATTGTCAAGATTGTTATTTTTTTAGTTTAAACAATACTTTTAATTTAAACTTCAAAGAAGCGTTTTGAATTTAGTTGATTTGTGGATTTCGGTTGACTAGTTCGTTACATTAACGCAACTAAACAGGTATTGAATGTCTTCGATCGTTGCTTACAATCTCATTTAATATAATTGACTGCCATTGGTAGAATATGTGTGAGTGAATATTTGATTAAAATATTTTTAAATCACACAAATATGAGTCGTCATTGTAATGGCCATTCGCATGCGTTAGCATTTTGTGCTATATTATAACAAATATAGATAGTGACAGAATAAGATATGAATAGAAAAAATATATATTTGTCAATCATTCACACATCCATCAAAATCGGCACACAAGCAGCAATTCAGTATATGAAGACTGATTTTATGAGACTGATGTTGTTTGCATTAAAAAAAAAATAGAGCGATAAAATGAATGCAAAACGAAGAAACAACTCTGATTAACGCAAACACGTACTAATGTATGCACATGCTGCATCAGTTGATTGTTAAAACAGTTATCTATTATATTGGTATAATATACTCAGCACAAACTACTGATGTGGGAGGCATGGTTTAAAGTTTAAACTGAATCGAAATATGTTATGTTTATGATTAATTTCGATCCATTTACAAACTTTCAGCGTTTTGGTTCAATGTAGTACCTAGACAATGAAAAAAAAAACATGAAGTACTGAATGTTTCTGGTACTTTCTCGGAATATATGAAGAGCATTTATTGAGATATTGAGAACGCATTATTTATCGATACCAAAAACTCAAAAGTCAATAGAAATGGAATGTATTTGAGTTTTAATTCATCAAATATATTTTTCGTAGAAGAATATATAGACCTTATACATTTTTTAATATGAGATATAGAATTATTAATAAATAAAAGATATTGTAGTACAGTAAAATAAAAATATGTGCATCTATCACTATTTCATCATTTTATTTCTCTCTCTCCCACTCTATGTATATGTACATTTAAAACTCGCGTTTTAAAATTGAGCAATTAAAATGACGCTGCGTCAGCACATTTACTTTACGACCTGTCAACAAGTAGTGTCAATCTATTCCAGAAAATAATATGAAATTATGTGATTTCTGTGGTGAGAATAAAAATAAAAAACAACGAATGATCTTAACAATTCTACAGAAATCAATCACTATGAATTGAATGTAGGTGAGAAAATCTTTTCTGTCACTAAATGGTTACAACAGCTGAATAAGTTCGGTAGTAGTTTGACTTCGGCTTAATATATATTTTTAAATGGAATGGCTTTACATGCATGTACATTGTAAACAAATAAATTTAATACGTTATGTCTTGAAAACAAAAATGCGCGGGAATATTCTTCTCAATATAATTATACTAGAAGTTTAAATTTATTTTCCTTCATTTAATAATCAAACAATAACTTTCAATTTTATCATACTTTATCAAACATAATGAAACCATATTTACAACTATATTTTATTGTTTATAAGCGAAAACAAGAGTATCGCATTGATGAATATTCTCAATTTTTTACATTAAAATGTTACTTACGGTAAATATATTTTCCTATAATTATCAATGTTGGCTTCAATTTCTTTTTTTGTATTTTTTTTTGATAATATTATGATTGATTTTCTAATCATTTCCTAGAAACACACACTTTATTTGTTTACTTTTTTTTCTCGAATTCTTTGTACGAATATAAATGAACTTCCATGCTTGACAACTGCCAACCGTTAACTGATTTCATGTGCTTTGCTTTGCCAACAATACATGTAAGAAGGTTTGGCAGTATATTATATACGTGAACGGAACATGCGAGACGTTAATACAAAGAATATGTGTATACATGCATGTACCAGATCGTACGATACTACATACACATATAGTACACACATACGTATGTGCGAATTAATTTTGCTCTGTGTTTAAACAGATAATTTATAATTATAGCCATTTTTCTATGTTTATTCTTCCAAAAAAATCTTTAAAAATCGTCAAAATTTAAAAATGTTAACAGTTTACTCCAAAAATGCTATGAATAAAACCCAGGGTATACTTACTTTAAAAATTACTATTCCATTATTGAAGAATGCTATTCATTCTTTCGATTATTTTTCCATTACACCCATTACATCCATTTCAAAAAATCACAATATCAATATCTATTTAGTATGTAAGAAAGAAGTAAGGGTTTTATCACACATATACACACATAAATTAAAAACAATTTGCAAATGAATTGAAAGAAGCTGCGTTAGCAAACACTTTGCTGACAAAAGTTGAGATTTGGTAGTGGTAGTAGCAGTGGAGAGAACAACACACAAGGAATCAATGTTGTACACACAGTAGCATTGCATCGGAACAACGTTACAACGACAACATGGCGACGCAAACGGATAAACGAAAACTATTCGCTGTTCGATATCGGCTACTTGCAACGACAAACCGATTTGAATGTGTTGGTGTGAGAATGTATTTGACTGTGACATTCCAAACCAACAAGTCGGCAACAAGTCACATCGTGTCGAACCATCACCAGTGTATGAACTAAAATTGCTGCGCATAAATTTTTAGTTTGCATTAAAAGTGAAATATTCTAGCGAATTGGATTTTTGTCGGTTTTCCAGAAAAAGTGTTCGGTAAGTATTATTTTAAAATAAAATATCAAACAGAATTTTCGATTTTTTTTTAAATTGACTGCATCGTAGAATGAGATTGAGATAGAGAGAAACACATTGAACACAATACAAAATCAAGTTAAATCATGAATTTCATCATTGCGCACAGTGGATTACAGGTACCGTTAGCCAATAGTGCGACGCAGTTTCTTATGATTTTTCAAAGCCTACTTTGACTACGATATGCAATTGAATGTTTTTTTTTAGATATTTTAAAGATTTTTTTTTCATATTTTTTTTTATTTTCAACATTCATTCATTGACAGGAACAACAAATCGGACACATCAAATGTCGAAGAAGAATATGGACACATTTTTAGTTCTTACACTGGGAATCGTTCACAAGCCGACCACAAACGATGTCAGAACCTGGAAAATATGAATACAAAGGATCGGTAAGTTTTTTTGCATTGCATTTTCTTCATTGTAAAATGAATTTAAATTCTATCGGATCAAATTTGTATTGATAAGTTTCTTAGTTTGCCCCAACTACGAACCGGTCCACAATCGTATTATTTCCGGCAACCATACAAACACACCAAGCAATAGACCAACTACCACAAACCGATGAATATGAATACAAAGGATCGGTAAGTGTGTGTTTTTTTTTCAGAATGGCATTTTCTTCATTGTAAAGTGAATTTTAATTCTATCGTATCGAATTTGTATCGATCAGTTTCTTAGTTTGCCCCAACTACGAACCGGTCCGCTATCGTGTTCTTTTCGGCAACCATACAAACACACCGAGCAATAGACCAATACCATAAATCGGTGAATATGAATACAAAGGATCGGTAAGTATGTTTTTTTCGGAATTGCATTTTTTTTATTGTGAAATGAATTTTAATTTTATCGTATCGGATTTGTATCGGTAAAAATTATTTGTAGCAATTGGTAAAAATTATTAAACTGATAGTCTCTTTTGAGAAATATGCCTCAGAGATGTCAAAAATGGTAAATTTAATTCGTTGTTGGTTGATTTTATATTAAATCTACCAAAATTAAATTAAAAATACCACATTTTTTCTTTCTGTGTATGAGCCGGTCCACAATCGTATTCTTCCCCGGTACAAATAAAATGAATATCCATCTCGGCCGTCTCCCGTAGTTTACTCCGTCTACGAGTAATTTACGTGTATGAGTAACTGTCGTTTGGTTTCATTCATTGTAGACCGATTGATATATTAATGGTGATACTTTTTTTCTTTCCATTCTTTTTTTAATTGATATAGGTAGTGGCCTTGGCCAGTAAGTATTTTGTTTTAAACTATACATATTTGATTTTCATTATATGTTTCCATTACTTCCATTACGTTCCATTACATATTGATTAATTTCCATTATTTCCATTCTTTTCTTTGTGATTAACCCTAGGCATAACCTATGACTTATTTAGGATATATTGACGTCCCTAATTTTTATAGAATCTGCATACCATTCCAAATTTAAAAACAAAAATTGAATGTAAAAATTATTTATTCAATGATTTTTTTTTTCTAATTACAGCAATAATCATATTTGGGTTTTTCAAACAATAAAATAGATGAAACCAACTTAAAGTCTAAAATAATTTATATTTTCATTTTTTATTTAGTTTCGAAAGTCTTTAGACGGGATTCAAGTTTTTCTTCTTCCTGGTTAACGAAGCAATTTAAACATTACCGAAAAATTATAATTTTGAAATTCATAATCCTGAAGATAAACGAATTTACTTATTTCTGTTGCAATGAAGCTGCAAATGGAATGAAGAAAATAGAGAAATAATAATTCAATTAGATTGATATGAAAAAAATTGACTTTATTCATAATCATCATGCTATATACAATAAACAATTTATACCAAAAGGTATCTCGTACTTCAACAGGCGAGAATTTAATCAAGCCTAGCGAACTAACAAATAATTGTTATAAACTAATTTCTAAATTAAGTGTTGTTGTGAGCACGATATCATATAGTGGTAAGCGATGATTGTGCTCCAGCAGCTCCGTCGATTTCAACGTTAACAGCACTTTTTAGCCATGATTTTAAGAAGCGTTGCTTCTTTGACACCAAACGGCCTGCATTAGTCTGCGAGTGCCTGGACACCGCACATTTTTCTTGATCTCAATCGGCAAATTAGATGTAGAAAATTAACTGTTGGTATTCGCCAATATGAGTGCATATTGCTTATATGTGTATAGTTCAATGACATTGTTCATTACTCGTAGCCGATGTTCAATGTACGAACGACATGCAGGTCCTTTTAGCGATGGCATTTCACCCAAAGTAACCTTCTCCTCGAATGTGAACAATCTTGTGATTCTTTTGGCTTTTGCATCTAAACAGCCTCGTTTCGCATCCCAATGATACCGTTTGCTGGACTCGTTCGCAAATTCACCTTACAAAATAAGAGCAACAAAAAGGGTATTTTATTCACAATCACGTTTATTCATTGTAAAAAAGCAAAACTACCTCTTCTTTGGTATCCAAATCTCGCCCGGATCACATCCAACAGCATATTTTAGTTTTCTGCTTGCGTAAATTTCCATGATTTTGGCATCACTTCGACCGGTAGCACTTTTAACTTTTTGTACAGTATCAACACTGATACACTAACCGAACAAATTTGGCAATCGAAATCCTTCTTGAAATGTTTAAACCAGTTGTTTAATTTTATCCGAAGGAGTTATCCACCAAACTAGAAAAACAGAAGTGTTAATTTGGGTACAAATTGTACGAAAAAATACTGAGAGAACCAACTTCAGTCCAGTACTTCAATGGTACAAAATTTACACTCAGGATTGGTAATGCGTTCTTAGGTTGGTTGAAACGTTGTCGAGGTATTGCTCCCACAAGTACTGGAATCCGTTGCCGAGTCCACCATTTGTTGGTCAATCGATACTGACGAAAATCGGATAGCATAAACTAGACTTTGTCGATGTTGGGATGTTGTCACTAGTACACAGAGAGAAAAAAATGTGGTATTTTTAATTCAATTTTGGTAGATTTAATATAAAATCAACCAACAACGAATTAAATTTACCATTTTTGACATCTCTGAGGCATATTTTTCAAAAGAGACTATTAGTTGAATAAGTTTTACCAATTTCTTCATTACATTCACCAAATTCATGGGCTAGCGTCATCTGTGGTTTCGAAAAGTTGGTAAATGTAATGAAGCAGTTAGTAAAACTTATTATAATATTTTATTCAACAAGTAGTCACATTTGAAAAATGTGCCTCAGAGATGTCAAAAATGGTAAATTTAATTCGTTGTTGGTTGATTTTATATTAAACCTACCAAACTTGAATTAAAAATACCACATTTTTTCTTTCTGTATACGGCCAGAAAACGTTGAATCATGCTGGATCCATCACTTTTTTTTGCAAAACACATTAAAATCACAAGAAAGGAATCAATTGTAAACAAATGCTGTTTGTCATCGGTTTGACGTGCACAGCAGCCAACTGTCAAATATCATATTAATACGTTTCGGATTCGAAATTCGAGTTTGCATTTATGAAATCAAAAAAGAATAAATGCAATGGTAAACGCTTAAAAAAATTCTTCTGCCGAAACTAAAATCAAATCACTCAAATAATTGTTTATTACTTTTTTTACGACAAAGGAATCATTAGAGTTGAAATAAATAATAATAAAAACTTGACGAAGTATTGAGTCAGGTTCACATTATGCTGTGGAAAGTGGGAACTATACATATAATCTACCTTTTATTTAACACGAAAATTACCATCAAAATGGGTCGAAGCGTTAAAATATAGTTACAAATTTGTTCGCTGGTTAAATTACGATTCCAGGAAGGTTTGCAAATTTTGGATCTTCCATTATGAGTTGAAATAAATAAGAAAGAAATTAATAAAAAACTATTTTGCGCGTTGAAATAAAGGTCAAGAACACACTATGTGTGCCATCTGTATGTCAATGATTTCATTAATAAATGAATTCAAATCCACCTTTCCAGTGTAATTATTTCTCATAACATGAAAAGTATATGTATATAAATAATTTTAATTAATTTCAAAAAATCAAAAACTAAGCACATAAATTCTTTTGTGTATTCTTTAAATTTCTATTGATTGATTATAGAAAACATTAATTAACATATTATAGTATTATAACTGGGTATGTGAGTGTGATAAGAATGGAAGAAGGGAAGAAGAAAAAACATGATTCGGCGATAACATGAAAATCAAGTTTTATACCAATATACGTTAGTTATTTTTGTGTTGTGTATTAATCGACATTGGAAAGATAGTTGATGTAACACAAACACATTGAATTAGCTTGTCATTCGAGAGAATTAATAATCACTACGGATTAATAAGATTAAGACGTCGTCAAGTCATTTAAATCATTTGGCGAGAAGTACCAGTGAGAGAAAAAAAATCCTCTGGATTGTTGTATGCGTCCCTCCGCTAAAACTTCTACAAATTGTGTAATTTTTTAATACGTTTGGAGCAATTTTTGTTTTTATTCTCGTGATTATAACAATTATTTTGAAATAGATATCTATCGATCAGATATATATCAATATATTGAATTTAATTAAAACATGTTATAGTTGTCATCAATTGTAAAAAGAATGCACATTTATAAATGTAATTACGATCAATTATTGTTAATTTTAAGTGTTATCATTACACTGTATATTGTGAAGGGACAAAACATAAAATCAGACTTTGTTGTACCAACACCCCGTGGTTTCATTTTATCTCCTCGCGGTTTCAAAATATCGATTCCAGGTAAAAGTTTGTATATATTATTTATTTATTTATTTCTTTTTTAAATACCAACCGATTGTTCATTTGATGATTTGAATTTGCTTCATACATGGGCACGGAAAAAATTTAAGGGGGGGTTATCCGGGCTTACACCCCCTGCGCCCATGTATGATTTGCTTCCTTAAAGTCCTTTAGTTGCTCTTTAAGTTGTGGACTGCTTTTTTGTTTTCAACGACTGTTTCTGGAACACAATCATGGCACGTCTTGAATCGATCACTTCTTGTGTGTTGTGGATATCGATTCCCACATCTTGGGCATGTTTGTTCGCATACGTATCAAACAACACACACAGAGAAAAATAAATCGGTAAATATTTACTGACTGCGTTAAATTCCATAGACGAATATTGTGTTGATTTTCAGTACAAAATGCCACAAACATTTCTCTTGTATTTTACCACAGCTAACGAAAATTTTACCACACGC